TTTTTTTTTGAGACAGAGTCTTGCTCTATCATTCAAGCAATTCTCATGCGTCAGCCTCCTGAGTAGTTGGGACCACAGGCATGACCAACTCATTTTTTTGTATTTTTAGTAGAGACGGGGTTTCACCATCTTGACAAGCCTGGTCTTGAACTCTTGACCTCAAGTGATCCACCTGCATCGGCCTCCCAAAATGCTGGGATTACAGGCATGAGCCACTGCACCCAGCGAAAAAAGATAGATGTTAAGATCAGACATTACCCTATTATATAAAGTCAAATTTACTACAGTAGATGTGGAATTTTTTAAAATAATGTTTTCAAAAACTGACAAAAAAATGTTCTGCAACAGAACACCCTATTTTGAAACTGTGTCTAAGGAGTATCACAGTAATCTTTTTAAAAACAGCCTAAACCATTCTCAGAGAGAGGAGTAAAAAACTTATTAGCAACCTATATAAATTCCATGCTTACTGATAAGAAAAATCCAATTTTACATTGTGAAATCTAAGAAAACCTACAACTGAACGAACAGATTCCTGGCTGAACACAGTGGCTCATGCCTGTAATCCCAGCACTTTGGGAGGCTGAGGTGGGTAGATCACTTGAACCCAGAAGTTCAAGGCCAGCCTGAACAACATGGCGAAACCCCATCTCTATAAAAAATGCAAAAATTAATTAGGTATGGTGACACATGCCTGTAGTCCCAGTTGGGGAGGCTTAGGTAGGAGGATCACCTGAGCCCGGGAAGGTCATAAGGCTGTACTGAGCCATGATTGTGTCATTACACTCCAGCCTTGGCAACAGAGTGAGACCCTGTTTCAAAAAAAAATTTATATATATATATATATTTTTTTTTTTTTAAAAGAAAGAACAGATTCCTGATTTTATGTAAGTATATAGTTAATTCAGTGTTTGTTGAGGACATTTTGACAGACAATGCTGGCTGTGACGGAAAGAAAAATTAAGAAGTTTCTGCATTCAAGATGCTTACAGTGTTATGGCAAAGACTGGCCTATAAACAATGACAACACATGTCAGGCACACAGGCTCACTCCTGTAATCTTAGCATTTTGGGAGGCCAAGGTGGGAGGATCACATGACCCCAGGAAGTCGAGGCTGCAGTGAGTCATTATAGTGCCACTGTACAGCATGCAGCCTGTGCAAGAGGCCCTGTCTCAAAATAAATACATACATACCTACAATGACAATCTGATGTGCTGAATTCATTTCAATTCACATGGAGGCCCCAAGAAAACTTAGCCGAGGGAGAAAGAAGATACAGTTTGAGGTAAGATTTGAAGAGTAGGAATCTTCAGGTGAATGAAAGGGTGGGGTAAGAGAGAAGGAAGATATTCTCACTTAAGTCCTGTACATGCATGAAAAGGGTGAACGCACTTCCAAGAGAGTACAGAAAGATCAAGGAAGGCATGTAATTTATTGCCTTAATATAAAATTCACATAACATAAAATTCACCATATTGACTATTTTAAAGTATACAACTCAGTGCTGATTTCTTTAAAAAAAAAATTAATCTATTTTTGGCTAGGCCCTTCTGCTTCCAGTTCAGTGAGAGAGTCAATGAATAAATATAATTTCACTAGTAGAAATGCTAAGTTTTGCTTTCTTCCTCTTTCCCTAAGCGACCTGAGGTAATCTGTGAAAATGGTTCGCTATTCACTTGATCCGGAGAACCCCACAAAGTCATGCAAATCAAGAGGTTCCAATCTTCGTGTTCACTTTAAGAACACACGTGAAACTGCCCAGGCCATCAAGGGTATGCACATACGAAAAGCCACGAAGTATCTGAAAGATGTCACTTTACAGAAAC